AAAAAAAAAAAAAAAAAAACGGGGATCACTGACTTCGTTTCAGAGGCAAATGTGCCATATAGAATATCCTGATTTTGTTAAACATCCACACCCTCTTAGTTCAAAAGTGTAGAATTTGAAATTCATGATCGTGCGCTGACCGGCCGATTCCAAGAGGTGAACTGAACTAGCTAGCTTTCTATTTTGGAGTTGAAAGAAAAAGAGAAGACTTTGAGTCTTGTGACAGCTGACTTAAGTCTATCGTTTGGATGTTAATTTCCCGCATGGTTGCTGACCATAAGGTTCAGCAATCGTTTCAGTAATCGTTGCCATAGATTGTTCAGTGCGCTTGTTGGTCTCAGAACTTGCTCAAGCTAAATATTTAACGTCAGCGTTCAATGTCAGATGAAAAAACGACGAATAGCCGCCGTCGTTGGCGTCCTCCAAAACACGCAGAACTTAGTCATTTTACGTTGTTGGATGGCGTTCTAGTTGCCGTTGCCGTCGTGGTTTACTTAAGCTCTCTAAAAGCTGGAAACCGGCCTTAATGCTCTCTTCAAACAAAAAATTAATAATAATTTCACAGTTTGACATATATCAACTTAGGCTCGTTAGGCTGTTGGAGGCCATTCACAACGATAATGCTTTCTTAACAGGCAACAATTAATGGACTTTGACCACAACTCTTGGGGCCTGATTCGACACTGATACACATCTTATATTCACATGATAAAGTAGCCGGTCATAGCAATATTTAGCCTGAGCTGTACTGCAGTGAAAGATCGAGAGAGACATAGAAGACAAGAAAATGAAACAAAGGGATGTCGATATAAGATAAAATGACTGCAAAGATGATCAAACGTGGGATATATATAACCAATCAATTATTTGAGAGAACAAAAGTGTTGTTCGATTCGGTATTTTCCTATTTTATTAGGTGCTCAGTGATGTTGATCATAGTTTTTCTTGTATTCTGTTTTGTCAGTTTCAAGCTCTAGGCATTTGACTGTTATATAGTAACATGACGCTAACATTAGCTATGAAACGTGATGACATTACATCGGTTATATAGTTAAATGAAGCTTGTTACTTAAAAGCTTCACTGCCTCAAGAGTAAATGATCGTGGGTCGCTGCAAGTTGATCAACTTTCTGTTGGCCTTGATGAATAATTAACGAAAACAGAAACGTTATTACACGAAAAATAAAAAAAAAAAATGCTGAGCAAGACTTGCAAATTAAAGAAAGAATCTTTTCTTCTTAAAAAGTTAAAACAGAAATAAGCTGCAATTGTCGAAATCACATTTTATGATGTTAATATTACAAAGTGGTTTTCCTACCTCAAAATGTAACACGACTAACGACAAAAACAGCTGAAAGTTATTGTAGAGCCTCCTTGAATTACTGAATTGTGCAAAAGAAACGTCGGGTTATATAGCATATTTTATGCCTTTAATGACCTGGGTTGCAACACATGCAGACCCGGGGGGAGGTTACTTCCCTTAGATAGTCACAGCGCTCTTTAGGTACACAAGCAAGCCCTTTTGACTGAAATGGGCAGAAGAGATGTCATGTCAGTCGGAAGTCACATACTTGCGGGTAATTTTAATAGGGTATCAACTATTGTATCTGGTGAAAACAAGGGGTATGGTCAATCGCACATTTTGCTCTGATTTTATAGGTTAAAAAACTACGCGCCACATACCCCCACCAAACATTTAGCGAGACTCTGTCCCCACTGCTCCTTTCCTAGGACCGCAGGGCAAATATAAGCAAGCTGAAGTTTACATGGCA